CTCTGCAAAGGATTTGGTGGGTTTTTAAAAAAAAAAAAAAAAAAAAAAAAAAGAAAAAGAAATGTAGCCTGTGTCCTGTCCTACTGTGATATTTACTTGGTCTACATGAGGATACCTGAAGTCTCCCAGTACTGATGCATTTTTTTGTCTTAATGACTCCAACATCTTTATGCATTCAGTTACCCCAGACAGATGATATTTTAGTCCTAATTCTATACTTTCCCTATTTAGGCCTAGAATTACAAGCCAGGTGATTTCTATGTTAACTTTAGATTTTCTTTAAAGTATAACCCCTAGTCTCCCATGACCCAGTCTATTCTTTCATTTTCTTAGAATGATAATTATAATGGTAATTTAGGGTTTCATTCATTGTCTTCATTCTACCAAATTTTGGAGGTGCCTGGTATGTTAATATTACTTACCTTAAACGTGATACTCGAGTTCTTAGAAACAAAAAAATACCCCAGAACATACACGCAATGAATGGCCACTCAAAATGAACTGTCATAACACCAAGATACATCCTCAGTGAGAAATAAAAACCTCTATAAAATAGTTTACTGTGAGGTATTGTGAATGATCACAATTTTTAAACTGTTTAACTGTGAATATGTGGTGTGTCTGAAGAGTCAGGGAAATGCCTGCGTGCTTTTAAAATCATAACCTAACCATTGCATTTCATCATATTAAAAGAGAAATGTGGCCAGATATGTGTGCTTTGGGGTGTTTACACGCAGTTGCTAAACACCAGTGCTTTTCTGAAGTCACTGTGTTTTTCTTAAAAATAATAAACTGTTTGTTTTCAACAGTTTGAGAAGTGCTATAGGGAAACCTTGATATACCAGAGTTGCAACACTTGAAACTGACTTCTGGAGCATCCGTACTGGATCAGGTCAATAACTGCATTAGCAATCCAGCACAAACATCTGCTAGGAATTAAGCTTTGTTTCTTGAAGGTCATTTTTGAATGGCTGGTTTTCAAATATGGAAGCACTGAATATGGTATAATTAAACTGATAGCTGTTGCCTAAAAATGAGACTATACTGCAGTATTTCTTAAACACACATTAAGTAAAACAAGAAGTTTAGAAATCAGATCAAACTACAAAAAACTTTGTACAAAATGTAGTGATTATTTTATTTTTAAGGATAATCGCTTCACTGTCATGTGGGGGTTTTTTTTGGTGGGTTTTTTTTTCCCCTGCATCTGCTTTGTTTTATTTAAGGAGGTACCAGCAGTAGGGAACACACTGTAATAACAAAGATCTGTTGTTGTCTGCCTGAAGCCAATTCCAAGTTCTTCTGCATTGCCCCTCTCTGTGGTGCAGAAAATAAAGAAATAGCATTGATACTCATGCTGGTCATGATTATCTATCTAGTTAGGGACTAGGACTTGTTTGAAACATCTCTATGGAGAGAGACTATGTAGTTATTTAATTGTGCCACTGTCATATTTCTTCTGATCCAAAGCATATACATCCATGATGCTTCAGGGTTGGTATTGGTGGTGCTTTTTGCCTTTAACCTGGTGGATTGGGGTGGAGAATATAGAAAATAACCACAAAAGCAACTCTGTGGGCTTTATTGCATATCGGATCATAAACTGGTTCTTTATGATACTGCCACATATAGATATTCCAGGCATTTTGTGGGGTGAATGACAGGTAGGAACTTCTTGTACTGGGCTGTGGCCTGGACAGTAGAAGCTGAAAAAGTTCATGTTGGCTTACAGACTGGACTGCTAGATGGAGAGACGAGTATGTAGTACCATCAGGTCCTTTTTTCCAAATTCTTTTCTTTCCACAGCTCTTGCGCTCTGGTTATTTTGTACAGACGGTTGCGAACTGATGCACTCTGACCTCTCTTTCAGATTTTAGTTCGCAAACTTCCTGATGGCAGAGAACTCTGGGGGAGGATTGTTGAAACAGAAGCTTATCTGGGTGGGGAAGACGAAGCTTCCCACTCAAAAGGTGGGAAGCAAACTCAACGAAACGCGGCAATGTTCATGAAGCCAGGAACTCTGTACGTGTATCAGATCTACGGGATTCATTTCTGTGTGAATGTTTCCAGCCAAGGTAAGTTGAGGCTGAAAGAGTTGTAAAGCCTATGGCATGGAGCTGATATTTCAAGCTACGCTTGCTGTGTTGCAGTCACTTGTGAGCTCCATATGAGCTCTGCAAAGTCAATTACTTGCTTTTACAATCTTTCCTTGGGACCTGGGTTTTGCCATTGTGAACAGTATGTAACTGTGGACAGACAGCATACTAACTTTCAACATTACAAGCAGGGCCCATCTCCAGCTTGCATAGTGACCAGCCCCGGGGGGTTTTGGTCCCAGCTGTGAGCTGTATGAGCTGTTCAGGCACAGAAATCAAGACTAAGGACTGGAGGATAATCTTGATAGGATGGAGCTTCCAGTTTTGATGACCTGGGCTGCTGCCTTATTCATGTGATTCAGTGAACTTTGTTCCTCGAAAGTCGTGATGTAGAAGTAAATTTGCAGTCTAATGACAGCCTAAATCTTGGTGTCTGTTGTCATGACAAGAAACTCTTCTGCCTCCTACCTTTATCTTCAGAAGCTGTAAATGTTGGGGAAAACAAAAAGGTCTGACATCTCCTAAGCTTAAGCAAGGAGTCACTGCAGAAGCATTTTAGCTGCTTTGCTGTATCTTAAAACCAAAAAAAAAACCAAACCCAAATCAAAATACCCGGACTGTTACAGAATCTCCAATCTTCTTTTATTATTCTCAAGATAATATAATCAACCCTAATCAAATTATTCTGGAATTTACTGAGGCTCTCCTTCCACAGCTCCTCTTAACATGGAAGTGTTACTTCTAAAACGTGGTTTTTTTCTTTCCTGTAAGAATGACAGTGTTTGCCTTGCAATAAAGCTATTGGTTAATTAGACACCTTGAAATGGCAGCAGGTATTTCTTAGAGAAATACTCATTTCGTTAGAAAAAATCTCAAAAATAATTTCTTTTTTTTTTAAGCTATATCTTTGAAATAGTGAAAAAGAAACCCCACTGCTTCTGTATTCCTAAATGGAAAGCAAATGTTGTAACAGTGACCATTAATCCTCAGGTTTTGGCCTTTGGACAGGAGCCAAGCAGAAAAACAATGCCAGGTTATACTGTGAGGGAAGAGCCTGTCTGTCTAAATGGAGGTCTGGAGTCTGGTGGATGAACACAAGTGAATTTCATTATGTTGTCTCTGCTAAATCTGTTTAGATTATGAAAGCAGAATGGTTCTTTTTTCAGGATGGGATTCTTAGTGTTTGAAATATTAGGAATAGTATTTTTTATTAAAAAAAATATGCTTAGCCTTTGAATTCCAGAAAGATTTCTTTGAAATTTATACTTTGGGAAATTTTCCCTTAAATGCCTCTGTTTAGCTTTGTAGCAAATCAGTTAGAGCTCACTGTTGTGATGGATTTAGTTGGATTTTTTGTTACAAACTTATTCTCCATTAGCGTGTCATACATGCAGCTATGCTGACACCAAGCACAGCTGTCACTACCAGCTTTGTCGGGAACACACTGAAGTAAATAGCATGGCTGTGCATGTTGTGTATCACAGATGCATCTACGCAAGTAGGATTTGCTCCTTCAGTATATTTGCCCACATGCAGATGTGTTGAAAGAAAGAATTTGAGGATGAATCATACCCGAGATGCTTTCCCATCTTAACATAGATGGAGAAGCCGCTTGTCCTGTCATTTAGTCTGAGGGAATCTGAGGATTGAGGAAGTCTTCTTTCGTGGTGGCACTTGTGTGCCTGGGTAGAAGGCAAAAGCATTTCATTTTCTGGATATGGGACAGATATTGGACGCTTAGTTTTGAATCTGGCTGTGGCTGTGCATAAAACACAAGGAAACACTGGGGGGCGGGGGGGGAAGTCTGTTGTGGCATAGCTTGGTCCCTCTTAGTAGTACAAACCATGCTCTGCTTATAGCATGAACTTCTCATGTAATCAGTTTCATCATCTTTATTCAAGGAATTTGATGCAAATATCCAAGTACTTCAGGGTCTCCCTGCAAATGCTGTGAAAACATGAGTGACTGACCAGGAGACTATAAAAGGAATATGAACGTATTTCTGAAGGTGTCGCTTGGAAAGACTGAACACAAATTACTGAGAGAAAGCTAAATGCTTTTCCTTTTCAAAGGGCACATCTCCCGTGATGTCCCAGAGCTGCATCACTCTTTTGGATTTTGGCAGTGCAAAGCTGCAGAGCACCAGGAGTTAAACAGTGGAGAACATGGGGTGATTGCATCTATTCCCATATAGCATCTTCTGCCTCCTCTGATCTCTCGGGATCTTTCATATCCCCTCCTCAGCTGTCTTCCAAGCTGAAGGTTTCTAGTCTACTTTCCTTAGGCTCTTGCTCCAAAGCTAGTCCATTACTTTGGTCATCCTGGTTGCCTGTCCCTGAATCTCTTCCAGTTTTGTTATATCTTTCTGTAGATGGAGCGGGGGAACAGAACAAGTCTAGACACACACACAAATTTCAGGACAGCAGAGCAACTTGCTTTATATGAGTAGTTGAGGTTTACACCTGGGAATACTGTATGGCATTGCTGCAGCAAATTGGAGCAGTGGAGAAGGGGAAAGGTCTTTGGGGGTTCCCTGGTGTTTTCAAACACACACAAATTGACCCCGACTTAAGCCATTTCAATTTTGACCTGGATGCATGTTAACCAAGTTCGTACTGAATGACATGAGAATTAGGGGAAAACCTGAGGTTGATTTCGGGACAAATCAGTTCTACAGATTTTCCAAATGACTCTTGAAAGATGTTTCTGTTTGGCCATTGTGTGGTTTGCATCAAAATACTCATGCCATCATACAATGACTTTTAACAAAGCATTTATTTCTGGAGACTGTTGGAACAAGCACATTGATTTAACTGAGATCTAGTGTGGTTTTAGGTAGTTTATTAAAGTTAGCACAAACTGATAATCACAAATGAATTCTTAGCTGGCTTAGAACTATCTAGTTCTGTAGTGTAGGCAAGTCCTTGTGCTGCTTAAATTACAGGAT